GGTGGTGTTTCAGAGCTGAGGGGCTGGGAGAAGCAGGAAGCATCTCTTCCCAGATGCACCTGGACAGTAGAGGTCTCAGAGCACATTTCCTGGAATCCCCCACATATGTCTGAGAACCAAGACCAAAAAAATGAGTAGATTCCAGTGCAACCAAGGAATTTATTTGACTTTTCTTCCCTTCTGGAACCCTGAGCACACTCAATGAGAGGATGGCTCTGAGTGCCTGTCACTGAGACCCTAGGCCAGACCTGCACTTTTCTGCATTGTGGCTCTGAAGCCTTGATCCTCAACCTTGGGTGCTCATTAGAATTACCTGGGGAGAATTTTTAAAAATCTCTGTTGGGAGACCACATCCCAGACCAATGAATTCAGAATCTTTGGGGATGAGATCCAAGCATCAATACTTTTTTAAAGCTCTCACGTTATCTCCAGTGTACAACCAACATCAGGAGTCACTGTTCTCTGGGCCTCTGGAAGTAAAACCACACCTGCATGTGTTACTAACTCCCCCACATGACAGCCCTTGGTAATCCCTGGAACCAGGGACTCTGGCCTAAGTACCCTAAGGAGGAAAATCTTCTCCCAGAGATGCCCTGCAGGATTCGCCCTATAGTAGAAACCTGGAGAGAAAGCAGTACCCAATTCCTTGGAGGCTTAGGCAGGAACAACCCCAGAACCAGAACTCCTGGGTGGGCCCACAGTTAACTGGAAGCCTATATGGAAGATAGAGTTTCCAGATAAAATACAAGACACCTAGCTAAATCTGAACTCCAGATAAACAGCAAATAAGATGTTTAGTTTAAGTACCAAATATTGCATGGTATATACTTACACTAAAAAGTATTCTTTACCAGCAATTCAAATTTAACTACATAAATTTAACTACATATTCTGTAGTTTTTTTTGCTAAATCTAGCAATGCCTGGAGTGGGGGCATAGACTCACCCTAACTGGCTCCCACCTGTGTCAGAAAAGCTTGTTTATCCAGGCAGGGTATGATGGCTCATACCTGTAATTCCAGCACTTTGGGAGTCTGTGACAGGAGGATTGCTTGGGACCAGGAGTTTGAGACCAGCCTGGGCAATATAGCAAGACTTTGTTTCTCAAAAAAATCAAAAAAGTAGCCAGAAGTAGTCTCAGCTACTCAGGAGGTTGAGGCAGAAGGATCACCTAAGCCCAGGAAGTTAAGGTTGTGGTAAGCCATAATCCTGCCATTGTACTGCAGCCTGGGCAACAGAATGAGACTCCAACAAAAGTAAATTAAATAAATAAGTAAATAAAGTCACTCATTCATGTGACACATTCAACATATTTTAGAAGAAGAAGGAGGAGGAGGAGGAAAAGGAGAAGAAGAATAGTAGTAGTAGTAAGAGGAAAAGAGGAAGAGGGCAGGAAGAAGAAGAGGAGCCGTCATGTTTTTCCAGACGACATTCACTCCATCTTCCAAACAAATAGAATTTACACTTTCCTTTACAAAAATAAAAATTAAAAAAGCATGTCCACTTTTCCTTTTCTGTTTTCTTCCAGAGGCATAGTCCTTCCTATTATACTGGCACTTTTAACTCCTTGTCAAAGGTCATTCCCATCTGTCATGGAAGGAACACAGGAATTCCTTTCCTTTCTGTCTGCATCACATGAGGATAAAATGGAAGATTGATTCACGGGCAGGAATCCCCTCAGCTGCCTCTCAGCTCTCCAGTCTTTTCCAGCAACTCCCAGAAGCACCCTGGGCTTAGGGCTCTCGTCTGCCCCAAGTCTGGGGAGCTTTACTCAGGGAAAGAAGGGCAAAGGGAATTGGGCTGCTGCAGAGATGGTGCTAATTGGAGCAAAAGATTTAGCCTCCTGGAAAGAGTAGCAAGACCAGATCCGAGGAACCCTGTGAAAGTCTAAGGGCCTGACTCTGGCCTAGCTTCTCAGGGGAAGACAAGACTAGACTCCCATTGAGGCAAGGCAGAAAACATTAAAAATGAATCAGTTAGCTGCAAATACAGGATATTAAATATCTGTACTTTTTTTTCTTCTGTCTCCTTGTAAATGTTGAAATTTTATGAGAGTTTGATTCAGAGCCTTAGGACCTGCCTGTCAGGTCAATTCAAGCTTCTTTACCATTGAAGGGCCATCAAGGATGGCCTTGGCTGGGAGATGTCACTTACTTTCTGCAGCCTGCTACAGCTGTGCTGGCCCCTGGTTTAGGTACTCTGCCGACCCCTGAGGGATTGGTTTTGGTTAGGTCTGGCTTTTTCAAGATGACATCTTTCCCTGTCTCAAGAGACTCCAAGAGACTCCTGGCTGAGATCGCCATCCTGCCTCTTAACCCTGTAGCACACTGCTGCACCTGCCTTATGTAACCAGTCACCTTCTCACTATCATCTCACTTGTGGGTATCAACCGTGCTAGACACGTGAGGGCAGGAGGGGTGCACTGCGCACATCCCATCATCCTTTCAGCCATGCATTAACTAGTCCAGTGCATTGCTCCAGAATATTTGATGGATGAATGAGTGAAAAAATAAGGAGTGACAGCCACCTTCCCTTTAAATATACATGCTGCTATCCCTCCAGCTTTCGGAATGCCTCCCAAGGCTAGGAGGGCTGCAATTATTTAGCTCATCTTGTAACCTAGAAAACCAGATGGGAATAAATGACTCTCCCAAGTGGGTTGTAACTCACTTGTGGCAAAGTCAGACCAGTGGTTCTCACCCTGGAGTCCTGCCGGGGTGTCCTTTCAGGGCACAGCACGGCCTCTTCTCTGGGCTACTAAGAGGAGGGCATGTGGACCTAAGTCTTCAGATGCTTGCAAGCCATCACCAGAAACATGGAGGCCCATCTCTTCAATAATAAATAACAAGTAGTAACAGTTGTATCAGAATATTAGGGAAAGGAGAGGAGCTTCAATGTGTGTTATCTGGGTAAAATGTACAGACTGAATCCTTTCAAATAAAAATTGTTGTCGGTTAGAACTTATTTCCCAACAAGGAAATCAAAGCTTTCCAAATCAAACAGCAACTCTTTGGGGGCCATTTATTTACTTAGTCATTAAATAAAGACTCGCCGAGTGCCTACCCTGTGCCAGGGATGACTTTGAAGACTGAGAGAGTGTGGGAGAGTGAGTCAGAGAGGGTTTCTGCCCTCATAGAGCCTGCATGCTAGACCGGGAAGATAGACTTTTAAAAATAAGCCGAATACACTGGCAACACAGTGTCAGGATGTGACGAGGGCTATGAAGAGAATAAAGCAGGGTGGGATGAGAGAGAGGGACAGAGAGTCTGCTTTAACCAGGTCAGGAAAGGCCTATTGGAGAAAGGAAGTGGCATGTGATGCAAAACATACCTACAGGAAGCAGCCATCCCTGGGAAGGTGTAGGACAAGAACCTCCTAGGCAGAGGAAACAGCCAGTGCCAAGGATCCGAGGTGGGGACAACCAGGGACTCTGAGAAGTGAGCAAGGAGGGGAGCAGAATAAGACATCATCAGGGAGCCAAGTGAGGATCAGACCCTGGAGAACCCAGCTAGGTGACACCTGAGGGTCAGGGTGAAAAGTTTGCATCTTCCCCTCAGTGTGATGAAAAGACTCCAGAGGGTTTTGAGCAGAGGGGTGCATGATTTCACTTATGTTCTGAAAATATCACATGGCTTTATGGAGAATAGATTTAAGGGGATGAGGTGAAAGAAGGCTGTTGCAATATTCCTGATTGTGGAGATTGTGACCTGTCCTGGATGGAGAGAGAACCATTTAGAAGGATGTGGAATCTGTTTTTAATCAAAGTCAATAGCATTTGCCCATGACAGATATCCAGGGCATAACGGAATGAGATAAGTTAGATTTAGGCTTCTGCATGGCTTAAGCAGCTAGGTATATGGTGGTGCCATATACTGAGACTGGGGAAAGAAACATCACAGAAGGAAATGGAGCTTCCCTTTGAGATATTTGGGGACTGAGATTCCTATTGGATGACCAAGGTGGGACAAAGAGAAGACAACTGGAGGACACCTGAGTTTCAAGATTATGGAAAAGGCCAGGCATTTGAAGTCCAGAGTTGTTAACATCGGGTTGGTCATTAAAACCATGAAGTGAGGAAATTTCCCTGAAAAGAGAAAATATGAGTAAAGAAAAAGAAAAGAGAAAGCTCAGGTTGATGCCCCAGATATTCCAACACTGGGAGTGTTGGAGGAACCAGCAAAAATGAGTAAGAGTGAAACAGAAAGTTGGTTGGAGAGAGCAGAGTTTGAAGTGGAGCTAATCTGTGTTCCACTCCATTTGAAGTGGAGCATTAGAAGAGTCCAAAATCAAAGAACACCATGGACTAAAGAAATCAAGGAAAGTTTCCTGAAGTAAGTGGTATTTAAGATATGCCTTGAAAACTGGACAAGGTTTAGATCAGTGTAAAGCAGTGAAGGGCATACCAGGTGAATGTAAAGGTGTGAGCAAAGCCTAGAATTGGGGCCTGGGCAGTCAGGAGTCACAGAGACAGGCAGGAAGAGGGAGAGGCAGTAAAAATTAGCAGGATCACTGCCCATGTGTTGGGGGTCCTAGTGAGAGATAAAGCTGGAATTATGTGAAGACAGGAGGAAGCCAAATGACCTGGGAGTCAGACTTGGGTATTCAGGGCTGTTGCTTTCTCTCTCCTTCAATCCCATCAGCAAAGGGCCACCTGGGAGATATGGGCCTTCGTCCCTTTGCACACCATACAGTCAGACCATCAGCGGCCCTGGATCAAACCCGCTCCTTTCACAGCTGTCTGCTTTGGGGATGAATGCCATGGGGAGTCTTTAACCCAAGAATTCAGGAAATTAGCTCCACTTCAAGCTCTGCTCTCTCCAACCAACTTTCTGTAAACCCCTCTCTGCCCCAAATTCAGGTGCTTTCTTAATTAAGGTCATCTCCCAGTTCCTCTGTAAGTGAAAGTGTATTGTTTTTCCAACTTTCCTCCTTACCTGATTCTAAAAGTTTGTTTGATGGTCTTGGTTTCTCAAGATTCCTTTTATTTTGTAGGAAACTTACCTTTTACTCAGACAAAGGAGCTGATTCCAACCTGGGCAAATCACACCCCATCTGCAACATCCTCTGACACGTGTGGACTGGGAAAATGCTTCTCGTCTTGAGGTCTGAAAGCAAAGAAGAGTCTAGAACTGGCTGGAGCTCCAGTTCCTCTGGAGAAGAGCCCATTCTGTGCAGGGAAGGAGGCCAGACTGGTGCAGGAAGGGGTCACTTGGGTTCATAAGGAAAGTTTCCTAGAATAAGAGAGAGAGTTGACTGGATGATTTGTGTGTGGACATCTTCAACCTCACCCCCATAAGGAAACCCCCACAAGTGTATGCACAGACACATGCAAATATGCACACATTCACATACAATCATGTCCACAAATCACAAACTTATATACAAAAAACACGCAAGTGATGCTGTTAGAGACTTCTCAGGTATGTCCCCCGATCATCTTCATGCTTGCACATATATGTGCACACAGTATTCTCTTTCAGCCTATCTACAATGCGGGAAGGCATTGGGCTTTCTACCAGCTAAAGTGGTACCTACCAGGTACATGATGCTGCCTGGAATTCCTCCTGCCGTCATTGCTGCCTGATTTGGCTGCAATGATACGCTTACTCCACACATTCTGGACACCCTGCTCTCAGCACTGCCTCTCAGTTCTGTCTTTTGACTCTAGCTGTTCAGCTGTAACCATTTGCACATGTTAATGTCTTATTTGTGTCTGTTTGTGGGTCTTTTAAATATGTATGTTTGTCCTAAATAGTGGCTTGTGGCAGAAAACACATCTCTCCAATTAAGCCCGGGAAGCCTGGGGCTACCCGGGTGCAGATTGTTGGTCTTCTCCTAGACTTGAGACACCTGGTGATGATGTTCCTGTCAACCCAATTAAGGTGGGGACTTCTTGAAGACTGGGGCCTTCACTTGTCTTTCGCAGGTGCTCTCTGACTAGCCCAGTTCGGGGCTGGCACACAGGGGATGCTCTGTTGACAGTGTGAGACTGTTTGAGGTTAGCAGCACTATGGGCCCTCTTCTTAATAAGTACTGATGTACTAGCCATCCTCTTCTCAGCCAGTACACATAGAGGGGTACTTGTCACAAAGATCTAGCCCAGCTTGTTCTTCATAGCTGGGTCTGGAGGCACAGGGCTGCATGACCCTCTGTCTGCATAGGTCTTGTTTCAGAAGCATCAGGAAGACCCCTCAGATGCTCCTAAACCCTGCCACTTGCTGGTTGATGCTTGCTTTCTCTTGCATTCCTGGGGATAAGACACTGAGGGCAAGTCTCCCTTGGAAGGTGTCACACTGATTCTAGTATTATTCCTTCTCATAGCCCAGTGTCTGATTCCAGAACCTCTTTGTGGGAGGGGCTGGATATGAGAGCTGTAGGGGCCTAATGTTGATGATAGGGTAGGAGACATGCTTCCAGAGAAGGAAGGTTGAGTAGTACAGGGCAGCTCAAACTGAACTTTCATACTGTGTGGTTCTCCAGAGAAACAGAACCAATGGGATGGATAGATAAGTAGGTAGGTAAGTAGGTAAATAGATAGATAGATGATAGATACAGAGATAGATGATAGATAATAGATATAGAGATAGATGATAGATAATAGAAGATAGATAGCTAGATAGACAAGCAGATTGATAGCATCAATAGATAGATTGATTGATAGACTGATAGATAGACAGGTGATGATAAATGATAGATAGATAGATAGAAATTCATTATGATAATTGGCTCCCATGATGATGGAGGCATAGAAGTCTTAGCATATACTATGTGCAAGCTGGAAAACCTGGGACCTAAAGGTGTAATTCAGTCTGAGGCCAAAGGCCTGAGAGTTTGGAGGTATGAGGATATCACTGGTGTAAGTCTCAGAGCATGAGGTTCTGATGTCCAAGGGCAGAAGATAGATGTTCCATTTCAAACAGAGAGAACAAATTCACCCTTCCTCTGCCTTTTTGTTCTATCTGACTCTCAAAGGATTGGATGATGCCCCCCCAACATTGGGGAGGACGGACCTTCTGCACTCGGTTTCCTGATCTAAATGCTAAGGTCTTCTAGAAACACTCTCATAGACACATCCAGAGATAATAATTTGGTTTTACTATCTATCTGGGTATGTCTTAGCCCAGTCAAGTTGTCCTATATATCTTGGTTCTTGTACTATTTTCCTTATCCCTCCTCTGATCATCACCTTCCTTCCTAGCACCCACCCAAAGTGTCATAAGGAATATCTAGAAGATGCAAACTGTAGATATTGAGAGTGGAGGCAAGCAAGAGCAACTGTTGCTTCAAGAAGGTGTTCAACTTCCTAAACAAGCTGCTAAGAAGAGCTAGGAAGTATAGACTAGGGAGGCCACAGCTGACTTCTCCAACCAGGGATCAGCATCCCCCTCTTCAATGCCACCATACCACTTTTATCATATTACTATTACAGGAATTCAGACAGGGTAGTGGAGGTGAATAAAACTGGGTTTTATTCCTCTTCATATTCTAAGTACTTAGTACAGAACCCAACATGGTCAGCACTCAATAAGTACTAACAAAAGTTCTATGAACACAGGGAGGTACTGCCCTGGCTCAGAATTCCCAGAAAGCAGACTCTGATGGCAGACAGGAGTTTATTGGGAAGCGTTCTTAGAATCGCTCCTATGGGGGAGTGGGAGAAGTTGGATTGGGTAAAAGAAAAGTTGAACCATGATGCAGTCTCAACTGGAAGCTCTGGAGCTGAGAGGACCCTTCAGAGTTGTCCCATCTTTATGCACTTTCATCCACCAGTCTGCATGGTGGACAAGTGTGCCAACATGCCTAGAAGCAAGAGAAAGAAGTGCTTCAGTGCTGGGTATGGGATCTGGGGCACTGTAACATCCATCACAGAAACCCTGATGGAATATCAGTACTTTGGAAATGGAAAGAAATGTACTAGCAGAAGAGCCACAGAACCCAGAAGGACAGCTCTGTGCACTCGTCCACACATGTTTTCTGGTAGTGGACAAGTCGTTGAACCTCTTTAACCATTAGTTTGTTTTACACCAGCTGCACTTTAAAATCTCCTGAGAGGTTTTGTAAATTGCAGTCTCTGGCCCCCACCTCATACCATTTGAGTCAGGATCTCAAAGGGAGTGTTCATGCATCAGTGTTATCAAAAATTTCCTGGTGATTTTAATGAGCAGTTAAGTTGGAGAACCAATGGATAAATACATGATCCTTAGAGCTCCTTCTAGTTGGTTTCTAATACCTATGTACTAGATTTCTAGTATCTGTGATTTGCAGCCAAGAAATAGCCCTCTCTGTGTATAGAAGGACCAACGTGATTTCTGGGTGCAGAAGTCTCTCCAAATTCACTCCTTGTTATTATCTGAATTGCAGCTCCACAAAATTTGTATATTGAAGTCCTTAACCCCAATACCTCAGTATGTGACTGTATTTGGAGATAGGGCCTTTAATTAAGTCAAAATGAGGTCATTTAGGTGGGCCCTAATATAATATGACTGGTGTCTTTATAAGAAGAGGAGGTTAGGACATAGTTACACACAAAAGACTATGTGAAAATATAGAGACAAGACAGCCACTACAAGCCAAGAAGAGAGGTCTCAGAAGAAATCAACCTACCAACACCTTGATCTCAGACTTCCAGCCTCCAGAACTGTGAGAAAATAAATTTCTGTTGTTGAAACTACCTGTGGCATGGTTACAGCATCCCTAGCAAACTAATACAGTCAACCTCAAACCCCTATGCCTTCTCTCAACTTCTCTTCCCAATCCATTCCTCCATAAATACTTTCAAAGGCTTCCTCTTCTTCCACACTCAAATACTGATATCATAGGACAGAGCTTGGAAAATTTCCACCTTTGCGAAAAATCAGTGATGACTCTTCCCCGATATTTTCCTACTTTTCCTTCTAGTCCATGAGTGAAGACAGAGCTGATCAAAGACATTCCAAAACAGCCATCCCATTGGGCCCATTCTTAGCAAAATCATAGAGGGTTTTACAAGGAAAAGAGGGCAATTATAAGGGAAGTTATTTTCTATGTAGAGTGGTGATATTATTTGATGAGTTGGGGAAAGTCAGCCCATAATAATTCTCCCTCCCAGCCTGTGGCCAATACTTGAAATTCAACCATCCAGAATATTCTTGTCATATTAGTCAAGGCCTCTGTTAAAATGTCAGTGCCAAAGAGTTGGGAAAACAAAGCCATTATATGCTGTTTCTACTTTAGGCTCAGTTTGCAATTTAAGTTGTATCCTATGGGCAGGATTGATGAATGGTTGTTAGAAGAGGATTAAGGCATTGGTCACTTCAAAGAAAAAAATGGTGTCATTTTTGTATAATAAGCTCTTATACCAAGTTGTAGGATTGCTGGGTAGATACCAAGTTGTAGGATTGCTGGGTCGAATGGTAGATCTACTTTTAGTTCTTTGGGAAATCTCCATACAGATTTCCATAGAGGTTGTACTAATTTACACTCCCACCAACAGTGAATAAGCATTTCCTTTTTGTAATTCACAAATCACAATTGCAAAGATCTTTAATCAACCTAAATACCCATCAACTGATCAATGTCTAATGAACATGTGATACACACACACACACACACACACACACACACACACACACACACACACACACTGGAATATTATTCATCCATTAAAAAAGAGTGAAAGAATGTTTTTTGTAGCAACTTGAATGGAATTGGAGACCATCATCCTAAGTGAGGTAACACAGAAGAAATGGAAAACCAAATACTACATGTTCTCACTTTTAAATGAGAGCTAAGCTAAGGGTCTGCAAAAGCACAGAGAATGGTATAATGGACATTGCAGACTAGAAGGAAGAGAGTGGGAAATGGGGAGGGACAAAAATCGAGTAAATGTGCACTAGCAGGGGCAACAGGTACACTTAAAGTCCAGACTTCACCACTATACAATGCATCCATGTCACCAAAAACCAATTGTACCCCTAAAGCTATTAAAATAAAATGAAATTTTAAAATAAAAAGATGGACTTGTAGAAGGCCTGTTGCCTGCAAAGACTACCTGCCACCATTTTCTTTATTATTTCACCAAAAGCCCCCAACAAATAAACAGGGCATGTTTCCCAGCTTGGGCTTACACTGAACCGTCTTAGACAAGCATTCCTAAATTTCTCCAGTTACACTCAAAGGGAGACCAATCGATTTGTCCAAATAAATATCATAAACACAAAGTGTTTAAAAAGCGAAGGGGCACAGAAGGGAC